ATGTCTTACAGTTAGGTTTTTAAAAAAAAAAAAGACTTCTTCCTAAAATCTTACCTAAGTACTTTTCCAATTAAGATATTACAATATAAAACAATTTTATTATAGATATGTTAATGATGGTTTCATTATCTGGCTAAAACTATTGGATATAGTAAAGTTTATAATTTCCTTAACTGAAATAGATAGTTTAACCAGTTTTACGACAGACCAAGGCAAAAAATTTATAAAAGATGTTAACGCTTACAGTTTGATTAATTTTTTATACATATCTAATATTCTTGAAAACAGCAATAAAATAAAACTGACATATCTTATAAAAAAACCAATATTCATGATTACCTAAATTTTAAGTCATCACCCTTATAAAATAGAATATCTCTTTCAATCTGTCTAAAAGAATAATTGTTTTCACATCTGATTACGATATGAAAAACAACGATTAGCAGAACTAAAAACATTGCTAGAAGAATGTGAATCCTGATAATATCATAAAAAAAACTTTCCACAATGCAAAACTCAAAGAACCAGCTCCTAAAAATCAATCTAAAGAAATTTTCCCTTAATTACAAATTTTTATAGCAACTTGAATTGTCAACTTTTTATAACTGAAACTAATCATAAACTTAATCTATGTTTAAATGAAAAAGTAAAGAAATCTTTGTAAAATATACAGCCAATAATTGCATTTACACAACCACCCAATCTGTTAAGAATACTGACCTCTGCAATGTTCCATTTAATCAAAAAAGAAATAGGACTTCTTTTTTGATTAAATGGAAACAGTCAAAGATTGTTTGCTTAAGAATACTAACTCCCTGCAAACAATTAGAGACTGTTGGCTTTTTATCAAGCTAGAAAAATGGTTGTATCTCCAACGAACATGACCACCTTAGATCTGAAAATTTCTGAGAGAATTTTATCATAAATTACATAGTAAATAGAGCCAAGGATAGAATATCGAGAAACTCTAGAAATTACAGGATATGAAGAAAAGTGCAACTATTCTACTACAAAGGTAAGGTAAAGAACGATTCAATATTTTTAATGATATTACCTGATACACTGCAAGAAGATTGTTTATGAAGGAAAACAGTATGTCAAACTTTATCAGAGGCTTTAAAAATGTGGAAAGCGATAACCTAAACTTTTCTTCATCTATCTAATACACAATAAACTTAGTTACTACGTTAGCAATAGAACAAAAAGTACAAAATATATGTTGATGATCAGAAAGTTATTAGATTTAAGCACTAACTAAGCACTTACTGACTAAGCACTTGTTAAAGAGTTTTGAAAGTATAGACAACAGCTCTGGAGAACACTTTTGCGATACTAAAACAGATATGTGGTGCAAATAACAAGCTTAAGAAGATTTTAAGCAAAAAATCACTTTAGATACAGAAGCTGGAATAATGGTGTTGATACCATTATCATCTGCCATAAATCAGGCAGTAAAAATAAAAAAACTAATATAAAATAATTGGAACGTCAAGCAATGGATCAACGTTTTTGTCAGTTATATCAGGTAGAACGCAACTAGTGGATTCAAAAGATGGTATTGATGAAAAGTTTTATTAATCAATTCATCTTGGTCTTTAGGTGAGTTGAAAATATCTGAACCTAACAAGAGAGGTGGAATTCTGTCTATAACAGATTTTTCTTGTTATAGACAGAGTTGTTGACCATTGGCTTTGCTTTAAGGCAAATAATTAAGGCCTTGGTCTTGGTTTTGAAACTGTTGGCCTTGGTTTTGGTCTTAACACTTTGGTCTTGGCTTTCAAAAAAAATACATAAATTTAGTTAATTAAAGGTTTTCATTCTTTTTTAACAAGTGTTTTTGTTTTTGGCATGCATACATATATTACAAGTGTGTTTTTTTAATGATTTTATAGAGTTTTGCGCATAACCTTGGTTTTTTGTAAAAGAATGAGATAACAGATTTAGAGAGATCAAACTATAATCAGAAGCACCTAAGGGTGAATGTAGAGAAACTAAACATTGATTAGGATTAGAAAAAAAGACAAGTCAAGTAAAGAAGGTAAGTAATTGGGTTTGTCTGGAAAGCGAGTTGCAAAGTTGACTATTAGAGTTAAAGATAAGGAAAAAGAAAAATTGTGGGCCTTAACACCTACTTAGATTTACTGACACTAAAGCCAAGCCATTCAGTGTGATGAAATTTATGTCACTAACAACAATGATATTGGGTAATGATATAATAAATTTCAAAAATTGTTTTACTCACTCAAGGCCACTCTTATTTAACATGAATGTTTTTAATATATATCAAGTAAATGTTTATGAAGTTTTTTGTCTTATGTTTAAATGTAAAACCAACTCATCTCCAGCTTCCTTTTTTGATTTATATTCTTTGAAAGAAAACAATAAATATTCTTTAAGAAAAGATAATTTTATTGAACAACCATAATTTCAAACAAACTTTGGTAAAGTTTGCATTTCTTTTTGTAGATCTTTTTTATGGAACCAAATAGTTTTAAAATATTTTGATTTTTCTTATGAATGGAATTATTATATGTTCAAAGGAAAACTAAAAAAATTAATTTTTTCAATTGAAAATATATTTATATACTTTTAATTATAGCCAGTTTTGTCATCACTCATTTATATTTTACTTTTATACAATATTGATTTAAAGTTTATGTAAGAAACTATATTTAAATGCCATAATTTGAACTTTCTTAAAAGTTGCACCGACATTATTTGTACAGTAGTCATTTAATATTTACTTTATTTTAATTCGTAATATTTGTAAATAATTTTTCTTACAAACGGTATATACTTTTAATATTGAATTTAGTTTAGTAATCAAAAATATATATATAAATATTATTATATATAATTTTTGATATTCTTAAATAAAAGAAAAAAAAAAAGTTTGATATATGCGCATGGATGTATCTGCTAATATTTTATGTATGATACTTCTGGAATTAAATCATCTTTTGATAGTGGTTTAGCATATTTGTTGGTGGAAGCCTAAACGTAAACGCACCAACCTTTTATAATTTTGGCTTCACTCACAGTGAAAGCATCATTTGGCTTTCAAAATTCTTCTACAAAATCTTTTGGACAACCTTGAAGTGCCTTTGGATGTACCTAGTGCAATCATATTCTTATCATTTTTGTTTATTTATTTATTAGTTAACAATTAAGATTAGTGTAATTGTAAGATACATTTGAGTAACAAAATTCAGTGATCGTATAAATGCGAGCAAGATGCGAGACGAATTTGTTCATCAAGAATATTATGATATTATTGTTTTCGCTTGAGTCATGCGGAAACCATAACTAAAGAAAAGTTAAAAATGTGTATATATTTATTTATTTATTTATTTTCTAAAATCTAAATTAAGTTCAAAGTTCTTCAACAGCGGTTCTCCGTGACATGACCTGTATGGTCTTCTTTGAGTATCCGCGTTCTTTATTTTTATTCTTTATTTTTTAAATATTGGCTCAAAGATAATGAAAAAAGTCTTGGTCAATTTGATCAGAAAAAGCATCAAAAAGAGAGCAGTCTTGATATGAAGGAGAGGGGCAAAGTGAAAAGCAATAAAGTCAAGTGGTGCTAAAGAAATACAAAAAACAAAATAGACTGCGGATTCTAACCTAGTTTCCTTACAAATGGGTGACTTCTTAAAAAAGTAAATGCTCAGGTCAAGTATTTGTCAATTGGTGCCTTTTCAAATTAAAGTAAGATAACCATCATCACTAAGACCACAAGATGAGATAGCTGAACTCAAGTTAGTCTTACAAAAAGAAAGTAGGTCTAGTAAATATTTTAAAAGGTTAGACTCAAAAAAAAAAATTACTTCGAGGTCACAAATATTAGTAAAAGATTTAGAGAACTTGGTAGGATGACGATGACGATGGTATTTTATGTTTTATACGACGACGATGGTATTTTATGTTTTATAGTTTTTGGTAGTTTAGCTATTTTTAAATTGGTTAAAGAACTTGACTGATGCTCCATTACAATGCCATTACAATGTGACCTTGACAATGTACACCAAAAAAACGAATAAGGGCATCATCCATACGCAAAATGATAGTGATAGTACTCTGATACTTTACAGCAATTGATAGACTCGGTCACTCTGAGAGCTATCACAGTGTTTAAGAAACCTGACTACCAGCTGGCCTCAGGATCATAAAACTGATTTTTAGAGCTGTACCTTTACTAGGCGATGATAGAAGAGTTGCCTTGTCATAAAAATAGAGACACAAGCAAAACCCATGTTTTGAGTCAATAAGTTCTAGCATTGAACATCCTTAACTGAAAATAATGCATTATAAACAAATCTACGCCAGTCTAATAGATGAAAAAGGAGTACAAGGCTGGTCTACAAATAGAATCTACCTAGGAGCCCTTCTTCAAAACAGTAGCCTGATGCATTTCACGTCTGTTCACGATAAGTATTTTTATCAAGACACTATATCATTTATATCATATTATATTACTCAACCAAGAGCCCCAAGGTAGAAGCTTTTTAAGTCGTGTTAGCTTTTATTAGCTTTCTCCTAAAAAATTGTATTACACAAGGCAACAAGACATGAAAAAGGTTGTAATGGGTTACAAGTTACCAGTAGCAGTATAACCTAACCAGACCTGAAAAATTATTTCCTATATATACAGAGTATAAATAAATAAATATATATATATATATATATATATATAGATATATTTATATATATATATATAGATATATTTATATATATATATATATATATATATATATATATATATATATATATATATATATATATATATATATATATATATATATTTATATATGCGGCATGTTCTGATAAAAACAAGTAATCATGAATAACAAATACATATATTTATTGATTTTAAAACTTAACAAAAAGTCTCTATTCAACCAATAACCACAAAATTTTTGAATTAAATTTGCAAGTTTCAAAACCTATGTGTTTTTACTGTAATTTATATATTGAAATTTTTAAAAAACTTAATAGAATACCATAGCATTCCATTACATCAATGTTTTCTCCGTTACACTGATTTATTGGATTTGATACAATGCAACTTCTTGATCTGTTCATAAACCCATATTTATTATCACAACTCGACCAATAGCTCCATGACGTCCAAAAAGCTAGAACAAATAGTAAAAAAACTTTTCTTACGTTTTGTTTATTTAAATGACTTTAAAAACCAAAAAAAATGTTATAATTTTATATATTTTAGCAAAATGATCAAAAATAGTTTGTATATACATAATATATAAGTGTACATTATTTGTACACTTTTCGCATTTTTTAAAATTGAATTGCCAAATGTACCTACCGAATAAAGTTTACTATTTAATAAAAACATTGATCTATAGTGGTATGTATCATTGTTAAATATGGTGCAACATAAAATTGGAACAAAGTTCATTATTTATAAATTTATTATTGATACAAAAACTTTACAGTAGAATCATTTTTGAGTAGGATCAGTTTTTCCAAATACTTTGAACAACACATAGAAATATGATGATGGAAATATGATTGCTACAACCATACATTTATAAAACATAAAAACACCCACATCCTTAAGACAATACTGATTGTGGGCTATCGATGATTGGCAAATATTTAATAAATAACTTATAGGGGAGAATTGCCTTAATTAGAACACTTAAGAAATAAACTTTTATTACCCAAAGATGGCTTAACTATGAAACTTATGGCTTAACTATGAAATTTATGATTTGATTAATACAAACATCGCTATTATACTTTTAACCATAATGACTTAATTGATTGCACTTTTATTAGAAACAAATTTGTTTTTGCAAAGTTACCACTTTGTTGCAATCAATACAACTGGTTCCCTAAATTGGAACACTTTGATTTCTTAATCAAAACAGAAAGAAAAAAAATTGTATAAAGTTTCAACTATAATGACGTTTTTTTGTATATTGATTTAAAATCACTAAACTAAAATTAATAAATAAAGTATTATTTTTAAATTTTATAATTGTGTCTAAGTATTTTTTTAATTGCTTCCTAACTATTTTTACAAGCCTTTGATTTTATTGCTGATTAGGTAAGAAAAACTTCAATGTTCAAATCAAGGAAACCTTCAACTATTTTGTTATATCACTACAATAACATGTTTGTAGCAACTTATAAGATACGATTGTATAGTTATTTTGCTTTTTAAATCCCATCGGATTAAACACAAAAAAATGGTATAACCTATAGCACCATAGTTTACCCAGCGCAATTAATATAGTGTGAACACAAAGTTAGATTACTGAAAAAAATGACGCAAAAAAACTTTAAATCAATGTAGAAAAAGCATTTTTTAGAATAAAACTTTCAAAATGTGTCAAAACAAAGAAAATAATGCGTTTTACTAAAAAAATAAAAAATATAGCCATAATTCATTTTTTTCAAGAATAAATGCAGGTGTTTCAATTAAGACGCAGTTCCAATTTCGGCAACTCTCTCCTACTTAGTAGCGTTTGAATGTGTTGTCTGACTTTCAGCGGAAACCATATCATAATTTTGAATTTATTTAAAATTTTTATCAATTAAATAATATATTTTCCATTTTTATTTAAATGTTCTGCTAGATAACTGTAAATTTGCTTTATATGATTGCTATGAAATGTGATGTATTCTAAAATACCATTTATAGCAAACTTTGGGAAATCATTTATATCTAATGCATCAGTTGGTTCAAATTGCTTTTTACATTTGCTTTTTGTATTTAGAGCGTATGATTCCAATTCATTTTTTAAATAAGTGCTATATTGTTAACGTCTTTTTTACTGGATACATGTTTTAAATAAAAACAGTTAATCAAAAAAGCAGCTATTTTAACATCTGTCATTATATAAGGAAGCATTGTATTCATGATTTTTTCTAAAGAATAAAAATATTGTTTAAATTTACCTATAACAGCCCCAACAACCTATCTGTATTTTGTAACACACCTAGTATGGTAAGCTTGAAAACTAGTAAACTGACTTTTAGAACAAGTTGTTATTTCGGATAATACTTTATATGTAGTTTCCAAATTATAAATTATCTCAAAGCCTCTAACTAAAATTAATAAATTCTTAAACTGAGCTAATTCTCTTAAGTTACTTTTTATTTTTATTTTCTATTATTATAGTTGCATCATTAATAGTTGCAGCAAAAAGTCGATAAAAACCAATATTAAAATCATTTGCAGCGCGTATTGCAGAAGGCTTAACTAAATGTCTTTTTTTTTGCCCATCGTACAGGATTTGTTATAAAGAGTTATTTGAACTTTTGCATAGATTGCGTACGTACTATTGTCTGTAATTGCAAGCAGTCAATCATTTAAGTTAAACAAATCTTTGATTATAACTGTGTTATTTAATAGCAAATCATTTTGTGATCTTGACTTTGCTCCTAAACTTTTGCCCAAAAATTTAGCATAAAGTGAGGCTCTTATCTGGTGGCAATAAATCTATACTTTTAACCAATATTATAAAGTAAAATAACAGAAATTGAATTTTGATCAAGACCAGTTTTTATCCAAAAGAGATAAACTGCAAGAACTTGTTTTTTAGTTTAATATTTATATTAAATAAATCTTGTATCATTGTTTTATTAATGTTTACAGATTTTTAAAAATAAATTTATTTACAATGGGTGTAAATAAATTTATTTTAATAAAAACATCAATTATATCTTAACTTGTTATTTTGCTAAATGGAGTCGAATCAGACTCACATTTACAAATAAACAGATAAGATGTAAATTTCAATTCTGTTAAGTTCTATATTGATTGTATTTTCTTTAAAAGTTTGATCAAAATAATCGTTGCCATTGTCATCAACGTAATCGTACTCTTCAAAATTCATTATCAATACTCCTATAAAAAAAATGTTCTTATTTTCAAATGTTAGAAATAAGACTTTTATTTTTATAATTTGTATAAAACAAAAAGACTGCTTTATTAAAAGATTTTAAATTTTTGTAATAAATGAATTGATCCTGTATATGACCAGTTTTTGTATATATGAAATAATAAATTAAAAAAAAATTCAGATTTCATTTTTTTTATATATGATAATTATATCAAAAACTGTATCTATAGTGTTTATAAAACTATATACAGTCTAAATGAACTAAATAAAAATATTTGCCATAAATTTGCAACAAGCTTAAACAACCAATAGCACAAAATAATATTCATTTTTAATCGAAAATATTGTTGAATAAAAATACTATTTATAATCAAAACCTTTAACAAATGTTATTGTGATCGTCATGGTTATTAAGAAAAGTAATTTATTTTTATATTTTTTTTCTTTTAAAAGAATTTTTCATTGTAGAACAGACATTAAGGATACATTAACATTGTCTATACAATGACAATATACATTAAATATATCTTATTATTGCATATGAAGTTACAAATTACATAGTATACACGAAGACAAAAGTGTTATACATTTTTATTGTTATGTTACGTTATACAGGACAATTATACCGTCATAGTATAGTCTTTGGCAATAAAAGATATATGGCTTTAGAAAAGATAAGGAATTCAAAAATAGTAACAACTAGCCAAATTCTATATTTAAATTGTATAAATTTTAATTTGTATGGTTAAGTGTAATTTTGTTTATGAATCTTTCTTTTCTTATTTCTGCTGTATTTGAATTTGTTATATGTTTACACTTTTTTTTAAAAATCGGTGCCTCAATCCGACCTTGAAGTTAATGTATCAATACTCTAGTGCATGTTCTACCTATATATATATATATATATATATATATATATATATATATATATATATATATATATATATATATATATATATATATATATATATATATATATATATATATATATATATATATATATATGTATATATATATATATATATATATATATATATATATATATATATATATATATATATATATATATATATATATATATATATATATATATATATATATATATATATATATATATATATATATATATATATATATATATATATATATATATATATATATATATATATATATATATATATATATATATACATTTAATGGTTTCACGGTTAGATTAAACAATTATATTATGCTTAATAATAAGTTGTCTATTTTTTTGTTAAAATATAATTACCAATTACATAATAATAATTGTTTAGTTAACCTTCACATTTCTATAAGCTTTTCTTACATCTATATATTTCTTGATTGAATCCTTCTTGTATTCTTTATTTTATATTGTATAAATCTTATTTATGTATATTTTTTTCTTTAGCAGGGGCCTTGTCCAATTATCTCGTGAATGAACTAGTAAATAGTTTTAGAAACACCCTGAAAAGAACGCCGAATTAAAAAGACGTCGGTGACCATCAAAAACTAAACCACGACAGTTGTTTTTATGATATTTTTCAGATCTGTCATTTGATTTTTGTTTTAATCATGTGTATAACTTTCATTTTGCGTTTTATTTTTTTTCATAAGGCACACAGGTTTCCGTTTCTGTTATGTTTTCTGAATATTAAATTTTTGTTCCCAAAACTCTACAATTTCTGTGATTGATTCTGGCGCTTATAGCATACAAATCTTTTTGATTGTTTAAAGAACCAATTTTTTAGAACAGTTTTGTATAACTGCATATAAACGGAAAGTCTTATTTAAGTCTTTTTACGACATCTTTAGAGCGTTCTAAAAGGACATCTAGAATCAGTTTAGGATGCGTGTTTGTGTGTGTTTGTGTGTGTGTGTTTGTGTGTGTGTGTGTGTGTGTTTGTGTGTGTGTGTGTGTAATTCCGTCTGAACGTTTATAGCCCCTGTTGAATGACCCTGTAGATTTATTTGATAAATCATTGATTTTTTTCCTCTTTTCAACCGTTAGATAAACACATCGAATATATTCGATGTGTCTATTTAACGGTGATAGGAGAGAAAAAAAAGAAAAGAAGAAAGAAATTATTTGAATAAAAAGAACAAAATTTATCCATATAAAAAAAGATAAAAGCATTTGCAAATTATATTTAAAAGTCAAAAAGTTAACTTATAATTGTTTGTTTAATAAAGTTACTCAAGTTATAAATTATTCACTTAATAAGTAACCAATTAAATAAAGTATTTAGATTGAATGG